ATAATTATTTTTTTAGTAGTAATATACAATTAAATTCTATTTATAAAATGAGATTTTTCAATATTAGGCTTTGAAAGTAACCTATTATGTGCTTCAATCTTTATTTAAAAATAAAAAATAAAAAAAATAAAAAAAACCCATGAATTTAAATGATATCATAGATATCTCTCAATGAAAACTTGGATAAATCTAGATAATGAAAACTTGGCATGCTCGGATTACTCTCTCTCTCTGAATTAAATGTGTTATATATGCCAAGGTAAGACTTCCGGTGGGAGTACTCATCTCTTTTATTTGCTGGTTTGGTTAGTCATTACTTGAGATTTGACCGTATTACTTGTTTATATATATTTTTGCACGAATTAATGGCAAAAATTCACACCTCAAGTTTTGAGAAATTTTTTGAGAGAAGTTAGATTAGTAAATCTAGAAAGTCAAAACATATTGGTACTCCAAACTCCAAAATTCACTGAAATTAGTAACTCACTAGGCTATTGAGACATATGCAACTACAGGCTATTGAGGCATATGCAACTACAATTGAGTTAAAATAACTATAATGAACAGTTTATTAGAAAGAAATTTTTTTATGTTTTCTTAATCATATTAATAAATAAAGGAAAATGAAATTATTGACTACTTTAATACCTGACTTAATACCGACAGAGATAAAATATGATGTAGTTATTAGAAAATTTCAACTTAAATAGACATTATTATTATCTTGTTTGTTTCCATAAAATACGTCCCTTTTTCGGACTTGGATCATCTAAGTTAAAACTCCTCTAAGTTATCTTAAGTTGAATTTTTTACATAATTTAATAAAAGTTAGGAAACTGCGAGAGAAAAGTTTTAAAATATCTTAACCAATTTATACGTCAGTTTAAATCTAAATCTGAATCTGCATAAAAATATATTGAGTTATTATCAACCAAAGATTTAGTATTATTTCAAATCACCTTCTTCATCCAAGCCAATACTATTATTTCAAAAAAAGAGTGAGGGAGCAATCTTTTTTTGGAAAAAAGAGGAGAGATCTTATATGAGAGAGAAATGTTTACGTCTTCGTAAAGCTATTTATCCGGTGTAGTTTTTTAAATTTTATTAAATTAGCTGAAATTGTTTAATATAAGTCATAGATATATTTTAATGATACATGTCATCATGTAAAAAATTCAACTTATGATAATTAGAGAAAGTTTAACTTAGAGGATCCGTTCCCCTTTTCCTTTCCTGATTTTTCAATTTTCCATACTTCATTTCCTTATCTTTTTAGTTTTCCATTTATTGTTCTATCATCAATTTTTTTTTTTTTTTTTTTTTTTTTTTTTTTTTTTTTTTTTTTTTTCACTTCAACTCTCACGATACTTAAATATAAGAATTTAATTGGTACAAAATCTACAACAAAAATTATAATGTATTTTTTACAATTTTTCAATACTTTGCAAATTTTATTTTATTTTATTTTTTTAATTCCTCTCCTTATTTTTGTTTCTGGGAGTCAAATAGATTATTAACTTTGATCATTATAATAATTAACAAATGCTTATCAAAGTAATTGATATATATTAATGATCAAAGACACAATATTTTATATATAACGAGGGATACACAATCTAATTATATATAAAAGGTGAATGTTGAAGGTATCTCAAGAGTTCTTACATAGATGCAATGGAAGAAAAAAAAAAAAAAAAAAAAAAAGAGATGCAATGTGATGTATATATATAATAAATACACAATTTGATATATATGATGATTGAAACTTTAATTGCCAACAAAGATACTAGATTAAGATGAAACCTAAAAAATGAACTACAACTTTCTAAATAGTTAATTACCTTATATTGTAATATAGGTTCATTATATTTGATACATAAATAGCTACATAGACTCTATGAAATAGTAGATTTTTATTTGTCTAAATAGCATGACTCATAAAAAAAGGACAGCAATATTCGCACTCCACTTTTCTACGTTTGCACTACAATCTTAAATAAAATGACAATTTTAAACTTAACTTTACGTACATGTGATTACTACTTTTTAAATGACATAACTACCATTTTATATTTCCTCTCCTTATCTCTCTCTAATTTTTAATAATTTAGGTCTCTTCTAATGAGATTAAAAAAAAAAAAAATTGAATAATTTTTCTCTTTTTACAGGACCAAAAAAAAAAGTTGAATAATATATATATTTTTTAATTGGACCAAAAACATATTTATGTTGAATAAATTGCCCCTTTTGACTGGACCGAAAAAAAAAAAACCATTAAAAAAATTATCTCTTATGACAGGAAAAAAAAAAACCCCAAAAATATATATTTATTGAAGAAATTTTCTTTTATCAAGATCTAAAAAAAAAAAATACAGAAAACAGGATTCAATATGTATATATATAAATTATCACAAGAGATAATTTATTCAATAGATGTATATATATATACATCTATTAAATAAATTATCTCTTGTGATATGATCGACCATACAAAAAATGTTATTTCTATTGAATAAATTATTTCTTTTGACGGATAAAAAATTATTAAAAAAAAAATTACATTGATTGAATAAATTATTTTGATAGCCAAAAAAAAAAAATTATTAGTATTAAATAAATTATCTTCTTCGAGAGAACTTTCAAAAAAAGGGGGAAAGAAAAGAAGAAAGAAATTATAGCACAGGGAAAGAAAAAAAAAAAAATTAGTAAAGGAACTAAAGAAGGTGAAAAAGGAGTTAAAAGTTGTATAAAGGGTAGTTATGACATTATAAAATAAGGAATTGTGCATTAATGAATTTAAGAATTTTCTTATCATTTCCTTTAAAAGAAAAAAGATAAATGGAGTATAATTGGAGAAAAGTTAAGTGCGAATATTACCTCCCTAACAAAATTATGTTTTCCTTAATCATATTAATCATGAATTGCAATTGAGAAAAAATAAAACTCTATGATTAATCCTTATGCTGCAAGGATAAACCAAGATCTTAAAAGATGGAGGCGGAATAAAATAAGGGTGGGTAAATAATCCGTGAATCCGGATCGGATCGGATTACTACACCCACGAATCGATGGCGAATTAAAAAAAATTGAATCCTTAACCCACGGATCGAATCACAGATTGAGCTGTTAAAAATTCGTTCCGGTCCATGAAATATATATTCAAAAATATATTAGTTAATAATAATTTAATGGATTCTAAGGATGTATTAGTAAATAATTATTTAAATAAATGAATTTAATATTAATAAATTAAAATACTATCTATTGCTTATGGTTAAAAAATAAATTAATAATAAATAATATTAATTATAAAAATAATAATGGATAATTAATTTAGATTAAATTCAATTCGCGGATCCAATTCAATCCGTTATTACACTGATTCGATACAATTCATAGAATAACAAATCAACGGATTAAAATTTGTCTAATTCAAGAGTGGCCATGAATCGGATTGGAGACCTCAATTCGATAACAGTGCACTGCAATTTAGGTGCCCTAGAATCAAATAATCTCTCCTCAAAAATAAAAACATGTAAGATGGAGCCGGAATAAAATATAATAATAATAATTTTTTGTAATCCAATAACAGTGCACTGCATTTAGATGCGCTAGAATCAAATAATGTTTCCTCAAAGGTAAAAACATGTCGTAATAGTAGTTTAGAGGTGTATAATTATTTTTATTGATAAGAAAAATGAAAAGATTTTTTTAACAATTGATGGCTTACGTATCATACCCGGAGTATCATTAGTCATGAATAATGATCTGCAATGCTGCTGCTGCTTCTTCTTCTTTTCTTTTTTTTTTTTTTTCTTTTTTATTTATTTATTTATTTTTTTATGCAATTCACGGCTAATCTTGATTAAGAAAATATATATTTTTTCCTTTAATAAACTGTTCATTATAATCATTTTACCCCAATTATAATTAATGATAAATTTTGAAAATTATCATTTTTTAAATTAACTATGCTTTCAATTGGTCATATGATTAGATGCTAATGTCATAATTAAAAGTTAATGTATACTGTGTATATTACTCTCCGTTCATAGTTTAACACCATATTATATATATATATAGAGAGCAAGAGAGAGAGAGAGAGTTAATATATACTATGTATATTACTCTCTACTCATAGTTTAACATATACTGTGTATATTACTCTCTGCTCATAATTTAACACCATATTATATATATATATAGAGAGAGAGAGAGAGAGAGAGAGAGAGAGAGAACGTGCAGAGCCTCTCACACATGTATACAATCGGGATGTGCCAATGCCAGTACGTGCAGAGCCTCTCACACATGTATACAATCGGGATGTGCCAATGCCAGTCTATTTATCAATAATGCTAATAATAATAATTGTGCCGGTTTATTTACCAAAAATTGAGCCAGTCTGCAATATACTGTATATCCGAAACCGATGAGAGACTATTAGCTAGAACCATTAATGACTAATCAACTTGCTGTCAGGTGAGTTACTGAATTAGTCTCAACTTCACCGCCATAAGATAACAAAAAAGATAGTTAATTTGTGTGTGTCTATATATATATATATATTATCTTTATTTTTAATTTTTTTTCTTTTCTAAAGAGGGACAGGGAGAATCAAAGCAGATGCTTTGCCTCATTACATGCCATAATATGTAATTACATCTTGAAAAGATGAAATTCAAACTTTTTACGTCATTAATAATAAAAATTTGATTTGAAAAAATTTATCGCTTTAAAAGTTACATAGACTTCTATCGATTTGGGAAAAAATTATTGACTGAAATTAATAATGGAGCTATCTAATTTGTGAAATGTCACATAGACACACACATACAGATGTCTCGACCGTTAGTGACATTATCATAAAGAGGGAACAATTGCAAAAATGTTAAATTTGAGGGATGTAATTGCAAACTATAGTGACTTGTGTCGGTGGAGATTTATTTATTGATTATTTTAAATTTGTAATAGACAGCATCACACTTTGAATGAGAGGACCCTGAAAAACACAATTTTAAGTTTGTCAAAAATCAGCACTTTCCCGGTTGTCCCCAAAAACCCAATAACCCTCGTGCGCTCACCCTCATCTGTCGCGCTCTCTCTCTCTCTCTCTCACACACACAATCACACACACACTTTAGTACTCTCTCTCTACCTCTGTCTGAATGATTCGAGAAAGATCTTAAATAGCCCCCTCATTTCGTCTCACTCGATGCTCCTCCCCTTTGGATCTGGGGATTCTTCACTTCTGCTCAAAGGTATTTCATCTTTTCATTTTATGTGTATGTGTAACGTGTGTGTATCTATATATATATATGTACACACTCGTACAATATATATTTTGTTAGTTGTTAGCGCATTGTAAGCTCATAAGCCTGGTGAGAGCACTTCTTTGCTGCAATTTGTAGATTTGGTGTACACACTCGTACAATATATATTTTGGTTTCATTTTTGTGTTTGCTTTGATTTCTCTTTTTTCAATTGTTTGATTGATTAAATGCCTTATTTTTGTGTTTACTTTGTTTGCAAGTGTATCAGATTCTTTTGAATTGTTGTTAAGCTCCCTTTTACAGCTCAAGCTTATATTTGAATGTATGCATTCTACAATATATATATATATATATATATATATATATATATATATATATATTAGCTACAGTTAATTGCATTTCTGTGTCCTCGGTTGAATTCAGTGACTTGTAGATATGCAAACATATATAGTGAATTTGAAAGAAAATTTTTTTTTTTGAATTTTTTGTACAATAATTAATTTTGTTTTCGTTATGCGTTCAGGTTTTACTTCATTGTTTGAACCTTTGGAGCTTACCGTTGGAAGATTCGTGATTGATTAGGAGGCTTTGACTGAAAGAGGGAGTTAGGATTCAATTGCCGAAGTAGTTCTAGTCATGAGCAAAAGTTGAGAAGTTGTTGATGTAGTAGTTTAGTTATTATCGGTCTTTGCCTTGAAATTTGGTGCATACTTGGCAAGAGGAGGCGATTTGGGTTATAGCTCCGGGGCAAAGATCTGAATTTTAGGTATTAGAGGGAAAAATTGATGGGTTGTGGAAATTGAAGTGTGTGGAGAGAAAAAGTTGACATATTAATTTCAATGGATTGCACACTTCCAAGTGATAGAGATTTTGCAGTTGATCTTGAGAGTGGTGGGACTACTAATGATGAAGTGGGAAGCACAGATACTGTTTTCGGTGCCAAACTAGCAAAAACATTTTTCTCCAAGGTCTGCAGTGGGTCAGTCAAGAGTGAAAATGGGGTTAATTTAAGCAGCAATATGTCAAATGGCACCAAGGCTTCCCATGAAAATGTCAAGTTGTTAGACAAGAAGGTGGAGGGAGAAGAGGATACAGGGAAGGAAAAACGTAAGAAGACGAGTGCTAAAAAGCCTCCCAAACCTCCTCGACCCCCCAGAAGTCCATCATTGGATGATGCAGACCAGAAGCTAATCAAAGAGATCTCTGAACTTCTCGTGATGAAACGTGCAAGAATCGAGCGAATGAAGGCATTGAAGAAGATGAAAGCCTCTAAGGCATCGTCATCAAATGGCAACTTATTCGCCATGCTGTTTACCATTCTCTTCTGTCTTGTGATAGTCTTTCAAGGTAAAATGTGAACTTTGCTTATAATATATCTATATTAAATATTGATAGTTTTCCTTGTGGATAATTTAGCTAGTCCGAATGGAACTTGTCCTGCTTCAGCATCTTTTTTAGTGATATACTGACAAACTTTTGATGTGGATGATGTAGAAGTGGTTGATTGTGAATCAGCCCCCTCTGAATTTTCATCCCAACTCATCTACTTTTGATATTTCTCTGTACTGTTGAGTGTGGAATGCTGTTCAATTTTTGTTTTACTACTTATTGTTAATTGATTAGTATATTGTTGGTTTATATTTCATAGCACCTATATTTTAACAGATTTATTTTGTTCCTGCATCCCTAACTCATGTTGATTCCTAATTACTTCGTTACTAACCTTTCTTTTCGTTATCTGTAGCAAGCCGGTGGTTTTTAATTTGTATTTATATTAGATATTAGGGTAGGATGCTGGCATTATGTATATGATTTTTTTTGTAGTCTCTCCATGTAGCTATTTGCATCTCTTGTTACAATGAGGCATAAATTTCGCTGAAATTTTTAAGCTTCTTGTTCAGTTTCTCAGTAGTGATGTTTCGTCGTTCAATTGTTATGTTATCTTTCCATTAGATTATGTACGTATTTTTTCATGCCAATTATATTTGTTTAAAATGATTATATTAGTTTTGCTTCACTCTTTTATTGAAATAATATGGTAAAAAAGATGAAATTGTTATCTTGATCTTTCTTATGCAGCGGAAGGCATCGTAAGTGTCCAAATTTATGTTTTCCTTCTCTCGCTCTTTTAAGTAGTTAATGGAAATTTTAGTCTGTCGACACTATGCATTGTAATAAGGCTATCCCTCTGTGTGGGGGGTTAAGACAATATCATTGATAGGAAACTTGTATCTTGTTACAATGTCACATGTGCTTCCAACACCCTTCAGCTGCAAGCAAAATGTTCTCTAAGCAATCTATAAAGCACATGTGATTGTTGATATCAGTAGTTTCTGGACTTATTTAGTCAAATTTTAGACCTTATTATTCTTTTTTAGCTTGAAATTTGAACAAATCATATGTCCCTTCAGCTCAATAGCGAGAAGATAAAAAAGTATTGCTGGATTTGACTAAGTCAACGATTGAATTATTTGTAAAATTTCACTCTCATAATCTTACTGGCAAGAGAGAAAATTTGCTTATGATCTTTGCATTATCCTTGCAGGAATGTGCTCTAGAAGAAGTTCAGCTGCAAGCTTTGAGGGCTCACCGGAGTCGGCTCAAGCCACCGAGGGTGGTCTCATTTCAGTTCGGTACCACTGGAATCCATCTACAAGTGATCCCAATATACCTGGTTCTGTGTCTCCCAAGTATGTACACCCCCTGTTATATCTTGCAATTTTGAAGAAAAAAAAATTAAATTAAAATTGTTAATGACAAGAGCCCTGTGGCAGTGTAGTAAAACCAATCTAAATGTTTGCAGTTTAGCGGAGTCTGTTTCTGGTTCAGATCCCGGGGATAAGATGAACAGAGCTACAGGATGAATGGAACAGAATTGGGAACAGAGTAGATCCACTGTTTTTTTGTTTTGTTTTTTTTATACGCATCATACATATACTAATGTTGTGCACGAGTAATAACCATAGGAGCTTTGCCCGTGTTGTCTAAAATCTCCATGTAATTAAAGAATCTGAAGTTGCCGCCCCAGCAACTATCCTTGCCAACCAGAATTTGAGGCAGATTTCTTATGAAACTCGGTCTTGGAGGTTTTCCTTACCGGCTTTTCTTACAAACTCTCAAGGAATTGCTGAATTCTGCAGAATCCTTTGTCATTGCATATATTATGTTTTTCAATAAGCTGCATATATTATATAGATGGTATTAAGTTGTTGGATATGTTGATATACTAAGAAATGGATGCTTATGGATCACTGAGAGCTTATAATGTTTTTCTATGGTTATCTAATGTTGTTCCAGTAATAAAGAAAAATGACAGGTATCTTGATTGAGGTGTTTTCATATCTTGATTGAGGTGTTTTTATTTAAAGATTCAATCTTTACTCGTCGCCTAGATAGTTCCATTGCGATAATGAAAAATATGAAAAATTACATGTAGTATAGCTAACCATATCCTTTAGGTGCTACTTTCAATTGCACTAATGAAAAATTAAATGTAGTATAGCTAACTCTATCTTTAGGTGCTTCAATACCAAGCATGTTTCTGTGGCTAAGCCATGGGAGGTTCTTATATATATGGTATGTATGGGGTGTTAACCAAAATACTCTTTCAATTACTAAATTTTTTCGATTCGATTAAATCCGATCTGATTTGGTGCTCCAAACATTTTTGACTTTTTTTTTTTTTTTTTTTTTTTCACAAATTATTTGGCCAGAATCCCTAACCTAGAGATTTGAGGATAGATCCATTATGTCATGTTTTTTGTCTGTCAAATATTTCCATTCCCAAGAAATGGATAATTGAAGGTCCAATGCTCTGAATGAGATCACTAAGGTCAATAATGTACCAAGGCCAGCTTGTTATTTTATAGTATTTATTCTCTTTTCCCTAGGTATTGTACAGTCATTAAAACAATAAAAACATAAATAAGAAAGAATATACAGTACCTGGTATACGTAGATGGTATCAAAGGAATTACACAAATACCACTGAGTTATAATAATAAATAAATAAATAAAAACTACTCCTATTTTTTTTTTTTTTTTTAATCAAAAGACGATCAGCTCATAGTCTCATCCCTCTCAATTTTTTTAAACGACCATGGCATGTATGACGTGTATTGAAAATAAAAATAATAATATTTAAAAGAGATCTCAACATACTTAAATTCAATTTCTAACACATTTGTTCTAAATTTTAGTACATGGAAAATTTAGGAACAACGTTAACTGGTAGAATTTCTGATAATCCTCCGTCAAAATGGATAAAGTTTAGGAAAAAAAAAAAAAACTCACTCAACAGTATGAGCATCAAAAACTTGGTGGAAAAAAGATTAATTAGTTTATTTTAGAGGATGAAAAATACATCCACGAACACACCAACCCCTCACAGCAACATCCTAATTATGGAGGTGGCCACAGCAGAGAGGTCATGCACAGCTTGGTTCAAACCAGTGGCCGGCGAATTGAACAGCTTCAAGCTGTTCGCGCAAGTTTGGGCCTCCACGACGCAATCAGACATACCATCTTCACCAAACTTGGGATTACCAGGCAAAGCCTCATAAGCTTCTGGAATGTCAACCTCTAGAATCATCTTGTAAGCAAAAGTGCACGCATCAATGGCTTTCTGCAACTGTGGGGTGGACCCTTTAAGGGTCTTGATCTGTTGCAGCGTCCGAGTCGCCTTCGCCTTCGTGGCATCGACCATAAGGATGGACAGGCCTCCAACATCTGAATGGGCGCTTTTAGGGTTTGATCGCAGGGTCGAGAGACAGAGTTGAACGTGTGGCGTTGCCTTGCATGTTGAGGCTACCAAATCTTGTGCCATCACACAGCGTTGGATTGATAGTATAACAAATATGGTGGTAAGAAAGGTGAATTTCGGGGAGAGAAACAAACCCTTCATTGCAGTACTAATATTAGACTGGAGTGGAATATATGGTTTAAGAGAAGATTGGATGATGATAGATGTTAGTGAAAGCAAAGTGTTGTTTATATAGACAGCTTAATTGGCTTCTCTCCTTCTGTTTTGGATCAATCCGCATTCATTTTATTTATTTATTTATTACCTTTTTTGATTTTATACTTAAAGGATATATATATATATATATATATATATATATATATGCATTTATTTATAATTGGATCATACTATAAATATATATATATATATATATATTGATATTTCTATTTTAAATCAATTAATGGCATATCCGTACAAAAATAAATTAACTTCAAAGCATAAATAACTATTGTTTGATATTAATATCCAACTTTATATTTTTCCCCTAAAATCTCAAATTATATATATATATTTTTTTTGCCTAAAATCCCAAATTATATCGCTCCATTGATTGATGACAAAAGATTGATAATGACTAATGACTAGACATTGATTCAATCGATCACACTACATAGAAAATTGCAAGGGAATTATTTATGGGCTTTGTCGTCATTATCTCAAGAATTTATTCCAAATAAAAAGATTGGTATATAAATATAAATAATCATATCATGATCTCTAGAATTTATTCCAAACAAAAGATTCTTATATAGATATAGATATAGATATACGTACTTATATATACACACAGATTTTGTTTCAAATTATTTTTCTTAAGATTTTGTATCACTGAAATGCTGATATATTTGCTATTAGAATTACAAGTGCTGTTTGGGATAAGTTTCATCAACCTTTTCTGTCGAGTTAGGGGTTACAGAGTGTGTTTGGGCAGATTTTGGACGGGTTTTGGATAGGTTGGGTATGAATGGGTAATAATTCATTCTCAATCCACCAATAGTGGGTCATAAATAGGTAAAAGTTTAAATGGGCGGATTAAAAAGGATTAACCCATTCCAACCTTCCATGGCTAAAAAAAAAAAAAAAATTATAATTTGTTCTTACATTAATTTTTTGATTTCTATAGTTACAATTTTTTTTTTCCTTTTTTCTTTTGGAAAAAGTCACTATAAAACTTAATCAATAATATTAATCAATTTTTTTATTTCAAGAGTTACAATTTTTTTTTTAAAAAAATTTATTTTGGAAAAAGTCACTATACAACCATGGTTCACCCTATCGTCTGATACGCGGCGTATACACGATATTTACACTGACTTTGTCCAACCCCGTTACACCGCGACCGTGACCAATACTACAAATCATGAATACAACTTACTCAACAATGAGGGTTAAGATAGGTAACCACTCTTAACCCATTATTAATCATTGAATTGTATGATTACCCACTTTTTACTTGTTGTAACCCACTCACTTAAATTTAGGTGCCCAAATAATTTAATTTTAATGGACGAATAAATTTAGACAGTTTAATAAGTTTGAATTTAAATTGCCACGTTACAAGTAGCATTCAGCACTTGAAATGTAGTCGAACCCCCTCCCATCCACCAATTTATATATATATATATATATTCACACTACTCGCAGGCTCACTTTTTAGAGAGGCTCGAACATTCTTCACCATCCACATTGTGAGAGAGAGACATTTATAGGCTAATGGGCTTAGAAGGGAACCAGAAATGAGCTGCTGTATAATATTACTATCGACTACCATAATAAAAATGCTATACAAGCCGACTCAGATCAAGACAGCATATTTGACTTGAAATCATTCTTGATTGAGGAGTCATAAATTTCCACCCCTGACAATCAACATACAAGTCTACCATGCCACTGCCAAAACCCAGATTTGTTTTCCCATATAATGAGGAGATGAAAGCCAGCGATTCCTGACTAGTAGTCCAAACAAAAGCTTTTACTGTGAAATATATGAAAATATAGAAAACAAAGAATTTTTTACAGTTTATATATGAAAACTACATGACCTATTTGATTTTCTCCCACCACCAACCTTTAGCTTTTACAACCTCCCCATTCAATAAAAAAATAAAATTATATTCTATGTTGCACCTGTATTGCTAAAAACTGTGCAAACAAGAAAGCCAAAATTGTGAGCCAGGGAGGGCATAACAAAATAAGAATCGACACCAAAAGAATTGCGATTATAAAGGGTCTACCCCCCATAACTTGGGTAATCGGAATTATCATCCATAGCCGCATACCCAATGAAGTAGTGAGGTAAATGTTTCGAGTACAATGGGACCCCTTGATGATTGCTATCTAAAATTCGCCAGCGTGCTTTTGTCCCTTTGCTGCTTCCAGTGTCATACCGAGCGTCCTTAGGTAGCTGAGCCGCTGGCACGACAGATAACCCTATCCTTCCAGGAGGGCCTTGGTAGCCATTACTGATATTGTTCAAGAAATCTTCCTCAACATAATCCACATCAAGGAAGTTGTTCCCGCCAGGCTGTAAGCCCCAGTAGAACACAGCGTTCGGCTCTCCTACATCCACATCAGTATATTCTGTAGGATTTGGGTCACAAAAACCCTGCAACTCCTCCAACTGTACAAATAAATAAAGCCTTTTTAGATCAGGAAAGTATAAACATAAATGAATGGCAAACTCAATGGAAAATGCACTACAAATGGATACAAAAGAACAAGATGCGATATTCAAGCTGCCCAACAGGTTAGATTTCAGTTTTAGCATGAACTTTTCCCATGGGATCCATCTACTATGAGGCATTATCAACAGAACTCATTAAATAATGCTTACAGATAAACAGGTAAATTCTAAGAATGCTCATTAAATCATTTCAGGGAAGATGATATACAATGGAATACCTTCAAAATCTACACACACACAAAAATATATATATATTCACAAGCAGGTTCATGTTCACCAGGTTAGTGCGTGATGCCAATTACCTCCTTTTATGTTTGTTTCTCTTAATTAATGCGTTCTATTCATTGCCCAAGTACATCACTAATTAGGTTTTAGCTTGTTTGCTTATTGTCCTTCAAACGCGTGTGCGAGAGAGAGAGAGAGGAAGGGAGGGGGGAATTGTATATAATTAAGAAATTACCTTTACGAGAAGACAGCGAAAACGTGACTTGGCCCAACCTACCCAATCTCCTAACTCATCTCGATCAGAAGCCAAAAGACATATCTTGACAAATCTTGTGTATTTCTTGGAATATGGAAAGGGTTCAAATAGGTTAGCCCAATCAAAATCTGGCCTCAAGATATCCTGCAATGTCAGGAAAACATGCATAACCAAGTGTACTAAAGTATAATAAAAAAAATCACAGCTTCCAAAATCCATCAAATATGACCTACTGACACTAGTGACTCGACAAGAAGTTTACACACAACACAAGCAAGTTGCAGAATTAAAGTTCTATTAAACAGCATAATTACCTTAGTCATAGTATGACCTCGTAGGACCTCTGTTCTGATTCTCTGATACGTGCTTCTGGTAATATTGGAATGGCAATATTCATGTGGACTACATGGCAACCGTATAGGCATCAAAGACCGTGTTTCTGTGGCATTTTTAGTCACCGGCAATACTCCATCTTGCAGATTTACCGGAGTTGGCCAAGGCCAAAAGGCAAAAGTACCAAAAAAGCTTGAAATCAGAGCATTCAGGCTGGAATTTGGATGCCTTTGACAAATAAAAGCTGCAAGAACAGCTAAATGGACTCCTCCAAAAAACCCAAGTAACTGTGAGCAAATAAAAATTAATAAGACCAATTTCCACAAAAGGCAAAACAACACAAGCTAAAAATGCCAGAAGTTATGTAGAAGTAAGAATTAACACCAAGCAGATGTCCTTACATTACCATACACCCCCCGCCTTTTTGCCCAAAATTTAACACATCGGAGCAATGATTGAAATACCTGGTACGGATCAATCCAAGAATGTAAGATATCTACAATTAACTCAAACCACATAAGGTAATAAAAAGAAACATAAGAAGGAAGATATGATGCTTCCAGAAGATTCTGCATATATTAATACCACAAATCAGCAAATTTGGGAATAACCCGATGAGGTACTTATCAACATCACTTCCCATCTTCAAAAAGAAATCAGGCATACTTGTGCATCAAACAGAAAGGGAAAGAATATCTTTTTCATGGACATAATACCCACAGCTTCAAATGTCAACCTACCGAAGCCGACTGGAAATCGGCATAATAAATTTACCAATTAATTTCAATACAATCACAATGAACCTTGAAACCTAATTCCAATAAGAAAAACCATCCATTTTACTGTCTAGCACATGACAATATAAAAATGACTTGGACGAAACAACACTTTGTGCACTACCCATGTAAAAAATCTCCAAATAGTGTATATTGTAATTTAAATATCATTCTTCCGTGAGAAAATTCTGCAAAATTTATAGTAACAGGTTATCCTTACATTCATAACTAAAAAGCATGCAGAATAAGCGTTTTAACAATTATATCCAACAAGGTTTAGTTCATTATCACAAGGCATCTTCTAAACTTATTTATAAAGGTTTTAACAATAAATCCGAATCGAGGTATTACAACACTGGACAAAGAACAAGAATGATACCATGATGTTCATCTTTATAAGCCAAAAAAATATATATGAACACATTTAGAGAGAAACATATAATTAACGCCTACCTCCAAGTTTGGCACAAGCTGAAGAATACTCTTATTAGCACGTACTCCAGACAAACTTTTCCAACTGGTTTCGTCAATATTCTTCAGAAAGAATGGATTGAGTATGTCTACATTCTACAAATCAGATGCTTGGCATGTCAAAATATCCATATCCATAAAGGAGACGACAGATGATAACTCATAATAATATGGTATTTGTAAATGATATTGTAGATAAAAACTAAATTTAAACATGCTGACACGAGAAACTTGAGAATCTACAGGAGCTCAACAAAAAGAATCAGCTCGGAGAGAGTAATGTGAGATGCTTTTACGAAGCCCTAAGGGCCTTGCCCACAAAACCAACATTGAGCACAGAATTGATAAGAGCTCTGAGAACATATATTGTGTTACACCGTCTCCAAACTCACCTCGGGAACAGATTTTACTTTAAGTTGAGCGTATGGAAGGTCAATTGAGATCCCATTGAATTTGAACCGCATTAAAGGAACTTTTGCATCTTTCACACAATGAATTTCTGTTACTTCTGGTCTGCTTTTAAGTATGTTGCGCAGAACAATAAAAAAATCGTCCTGCAAGCATCATGAGGTAACAAGTGATCCTTCTTGTGCTAGCTTATATATGAAAAAAATGATCAAGCAAGTAAAATCACTTACAGTCATAGTGGCAAAGCAAGGGCCAACACATAAAGCATCAATATCAGACCCTGAATTATGAACCTGGATAAAGTAGAATTTGTTAATTGACAAAAGCTGTAAAAATACATCAACTTCCCAAATCAACTGCAATGCATATTGCGATGCATACGCGTATAAGGTGAAGGTTGAACTCTACAACAACAGCAGTAATTTCTCTCATTTGATTCAAATTACTACTGAAACTATCCAATTCAATGAACAATTTTACAAACTGACAAAGACCTTCGAAAATTGGAAAACGCAATCAACTCCATAAGAAATTGAGTCAATCGGGTATCAGTCTATCAGAGGCGGTGAGAGGAAGAACGCCGCTAAAGGAATAGAGACCCCCTTAGAGATTGGAAAAGAAGAGTATACCCATAGGAAGAAGCGAGTCGTGCCAAAACTCGTGTGGATAAGAAATGAACATTTATTACAAGAACCGCCATAGCATTGGCTTGAGTGGTATGTCCTCTAACTTCCCCAAAGGGAGAAAAACTTCATTATGCCCACATCCAACCGTTCATATACTGCGTGTGTAATACACGCGTGGGCATATCATGAACAATCTGGATGCGCCCGTTGCACGGTGAAACAGGCACAATAAAGTTTTTCTCCCCCAAAGGAGATGTTGAGAGTTCAAACTCCAGTTGGTGCATGTGTTCATGAGTTACTTTCCAATTATACAAAAAAGAAAAAAGTACCACAAGAAACCTTAACAAAGTTTCAAAAAGGAATACAAGAAAGCATATTTTAATTATTTTCTATTTGACAAAGAATTTTGATAGGCAATTCAACATTACTCATACCTTAGCTAGCGCCGGAACGAAAAGAATAACTAGGGCTAGCCGGCACCTTCGGACCATTAGTTCCTAATCCTCATACAGAATGCACTGGAAGTGTAAATAACAAGTAGCAATCTTGATAAATAGTTCAATTAGCTGTAATTCTTAGATGATATTTTATATAAATTTGTGATATTGCCAATTTGTTGTATGTAAATTACTGATTTACATACAACAAATTGGCAATATCACAAATTTATATAAAATATCATCTAAGAATTACAGCTAATTGAACTATTTATCAAGATTGCTACTTGTTATTTACACTTCCAGTGCATTCTGTATGAGGATTAGGAACTAATGGTCCGAAGGTGCCAGCTAGCCCTAGTTGGTAAATTTTTTTGGTACTTGTAACAATAACCAACAAGTGAATTCCACCCCATGCAAGTGATTGTTGTTAGCGTAGCAACTTTCAGAATCCTAAGACCATCCAGTCTCATTTACTATGCATGCGGGTGATTTTTTAAAAACCCACTGCTTGGTAAGCTTGTTAGCTATAGCAGCTTTAAACCGTAACCATTTCTTTATTCTAGAAATCAAATGTGGGGAATTTAAGAACATAAATGCAATCTTATTAAACAACAGCCAAATATATGAATCATCAGGTGGCAATCGCCTTGTGCATCCTCATTCTACAATAAAAAATGTGCAGTATGCCCTTCAATGGTTTTTTTTCCAATTAATTTATTCTAATCATGTCATTTAAACAATAACTTGTTCCATCTCATTAGTTGAATTCAAAATTACTGTAGAAACATGTGTGCAATCCTATACACTACATGTATTGTAAGAACTTTCATGTGTACAGCAATTAGTTCATATTTGCTTTCTTTCAATTAGTAAAATTATAATATACAATCATTCATGGACACTGATATGTCCTATGATATCTCTATATTTTATCAGTATGGGAGTGTGCACTTGACGCCAATTCAGTATGAAGGAAACAAATCAGTTCCCCGCAATTCATTTATTTTTCTTTATTGACAGCATTGATGTGCTCCCTCTTCAATGACTATTGCTTTCTAATCAATATCGGATTAGTGTAAGAACTTTCATGTGTACAGCGATTAGTTCATATTTGCTTTCATTACAATTAGTAAAATTATAATATACGATCGTTCATGGACACTGCCATGTCCTATGATATCTAGATATTTTATCAGTATGGGAGTGTGCACTTGATGCAATTCAGAATTAAGGAAACAATTCCATTCCCCGCAACAGATTTCTTTGCTCACGACGGGTGAAGAGAATCCTGATGAAATTAAAGCTTTTTTCTTTTTTCTTTATTGAGAGCATTGACGTGCTCCATCTTCAATGACTATTGCTTTCTAATCAATATCTGATTCACATCTTAATGTACAAATCTTTCATTCTTGTTTCTATAAGTATTGATTAGGGTTTGGAATTACCGAGTGGTAGCTTATCAGTATGGGAGTGTGCTCTTGATGACAATTCAGTATTAAGGTAGACAATTCAGTTCCCCACAAATTTTATTTTATTTTATTTTATTTTTTCTTCTTTATTGAGAGAGTTGACGTGCTCCCTCTTTAATGACTTTTGCTTTCTAATCAATATTGGATTCACATCTTAACATACAAATCTTTCATTCTTGTTTCAAGAAGTATTGATTAGGGTTTGAAATTATTAAGTGGTAGCTTAGGAAAGTGGTAAATGTGTTATTAATGTTGTTGGGGATCCTAGAAGTCATTCTAGGAAGAATCAAGGATCATTAGTAGCTATATTATAAAAGAACAGCTGCTTTCTCCGCCTAAGAAGACTTAATCAATATAATTTTGAGTTATTATTAGTTTATAAACAATTCTTTAGACTTTTCACAGATTTCCCTTTAAAAATCTAGACGGCAATTGTTGTTATTCTACTATTTCTTACTACCCTAAGAGGACTATAATCTTAATTATGTTTGCTGAATTCTCCCTATTTCTTTTTCTTCTCTTGTGAAGTGAGAAGTTCCAAAAACTGCAATGATGATGAAGTTGCTTTGTAAAGAATCTATCGAAAAAAAAAAAAAAATCCAAAAATGGAATTGCCCACCCTCTCCCATCTTCTTTCTTTTCTCTCTTTATCTACTAGTTTTTTTAGTCTTTTCACATCATATAATAGATTTTAAAAGAATAAAAAGAAAAGCAACAAGCTTCTCACCCACCACGTGTTTGACAAAGTTCTCATGAAAGCCGTATTGCATCAATGATGCTCAAAATCCAGATAGACTCATAATCAAGATCTTACAATCTAATAACCCAACACTCTGTTTTAATTCATCTTTTGCTTCCTAAAAACAAACAACTAATTCATGGGCCCAAATGCATGTATTCGGTGTGACTGCATATCTAGTCCAGGCAACGGAACTCTCTGAACCCAAATGTGTACAAAAGTTGGTACCGGTACGAAGACACATGCAAATTTAAGGACATCAAATATTATGAGTTGTGATGTTACTTAAGATACTCTCAAGCACAAAATCCAAATTAAAGGACATTTGGTGGGGGAAAAAAATGTTTGCATATATCTCTCCAAGTGAGAAAAAGGAAGCCACACTCTTCTAACATATTTGATCAGTTTCTTCTTTTCTGTCATCACATTCAGAGGATCTACATGTCTAAATAAGTTCATGTATCATACACATATCGCATGCTCATACATTCAACACAAGGTGTAACCCGGGGACATTAGAGCTATGAATCATTTCATGCATCCCAAAGCCATATGAACACTCATTCATATATAATATGAGATGAAGATTTCCCAATTGGCAGTTATAGTAGTGGATATTTGGATCTATATGGTTTCTGCTTGATGTGAAACCTCTATGTGATAAAAATTGGGAATTAAAACTATTTTCAACAGACAACCTACTGAGCACCAAAATATTCTTGAATATTCCCATTTCTGGAAGTCTGTAACATTCTCCGAATGTATTAGTAACCACATAATTCCAGAACATGTACCGTTGCAAATGCAACCTGGGAAAATACACTTTTATTGAGTGAATGCCAAAAGGAAGAAAATAATAGTTATTGAGTGAAAAGATGGACGCTTGATAACAATAACATAGATCTGAACATAGAGAGGCAATATCTTCAGAATGATGCATGCACAAGACAAGAAGCTTCTCCTATATCAAATTAAAAAAGGAAACAAAACCAAACAAGAAAAGGAATAGGACCAAAAAAAAAAAGAAACAACTTCTAAGAGTTCAATATTACATCATTACACCATCAAGAATTACAGAAAAGTAGGAGCATCTGCGAGACAGAACATGAACATAGGGAAAAAAATATATATCCCTTGCCCAATGGAGAAATAAAAATAACAATGCTGAACACAAAAACGATTAGCTCAAAGACGAAAACACTAATAAGTACACAGACACACACACACACACACAAAAAACTTACTCCAAGTCCATATGATCCATATGTTAATATTGTGGCAGAAGCAGAGGTTATATGGTGTTTTGGAAGCCGACGCTGGTAAGCCACCCTCTTAACCCAATTTGTGACTATCTGAAAAATGATGTGAAAGATTGAGATTTACAAACAGTGACCATCAAGTAAGTTTGTTGAAGCTAGTAAATACTAGATGAAAATCTATGCTTGTGAATCTAATTCATGGCGAACGCACTGATGTCGGTATGCATGTACCTCAAATAACAATAAGTATCTGGATCAACACAACAAAAAGCCCAATGAAACAACATTGCCCAAAATACTCGACTTCCTTGTTAATAAACCCATACATCGCGACAGGAAGAAATTTCTTAAGATACTTAATTTCATTTTAAATAAAAATTTCAAAATACTAATTAGAGTAGGTAAAATTAATTTCTTGAACAGATCCCAAAAAATGGAAATGCAAAAAGTTATGTCTCAGTGAGAAAGTTTTAACACAATGCTGCACACCAAATAGAAACTTGCAGATAATAATAATCAGAATTTAGTAGTATCTTACGAATGTTATTACCTGTGCTGAGCATATACATAGACATGCATATCCATAAACATAAACCCACAAAATAAGCTTACATGAAAACAGAGATATCAAGATTTAGGAAGTTATTAAAACAATCTTTTATTCTTAATTAATTAGCTTCAATACCTGTTTGAGTGTGTCAATGGCATTTTTCCTCTTGATTTCCTCTTCTGACGAAGGCGTAAGTCCTTCATTTGCCATAAACTACAAACACCAGACAATAATAAATCAAGATCATGACCTAAAACTCATAGAGAAAAAAATTGCAGAGAACTTCTTAGGCAATTGGACAGGAAGATTTCTCGTTTTGGTGAGATTCACATAAAAGGTCTTTCATATATAGCTACCTGAAGCAGAGACATTGACCTCGCCTCCTCCATTCGATCCAAAACAGCTGGATTCAAAGCGAAACGAACGGGAACAACCACAGAAGGATTGACCGGAACCAACTGAGGCACAACTGAACCAAAGCAAGGGTTTATCACACCAAAAGGCTGTCTAGGAACGAAGGTCACCGGAGGGTTCGCAGCTCGAAAATTGGTGAACTGGTGATTAGGAACAACGATGACACTTGTTTGATTATGTCTCTCATATGCCATACACACCACTCAGATCGCTTAGAGAGAATCAAGCAAGTGTCCTAAACCAAATAGCTCTAGGGTTTGCAATTCAAAAAATAAATAGAAGTTATAAATATATATATATATATATATATATATATATATGTATAGACAGCGCAGAAATTCTGATTTGAAGTTAGAGAGAGAAAGAGAAGAACCCTAATAATAACAATGAAGAAGAAGCCAGATAGGAACTAGGATGGTGTTTGGCTACTGATTTGCTTTTTGAAATTGCAACGGTGTCAAAGGCGACGACGAGAGAGGGTAACACGGTTTGCGGTCTACATTCCCTGGGAATCCACGCGTCGAAAGATGGAGAACCCAAGTGTCGAGCACTAAGTGGACACCCAATGCCGTTACATAAAGGGGTAGAATTACAAATCTTTTTGTCTTCTCGAAGTTTCTCGCAACCATGACGTGGCTAATAACCAATGGCTGGTCAGATATGTATTGGGCTACAGATGGTGGACCTTAATGGGCCTAGCCTAGGAAGTAATACGTATAATGGGCTTCTAAACTTAACCAAGCTCATATAGTGCTTGGATTGGGCGGGCCAACACAAACTTGTATAAGCAAATATGATAAGTTGGGACTGTTGAGATGCCGTGATTGTGGAACCAATATACCAGTGGGCTGTTGCTGAGTTACAGTCATAATCCAGTATGCCCTTTGTAGCTCTGCACATTGTTCATCGTTACATATATATATATATATATATATATATTTTATCGATTACATAACCGATGTGAGAATTAATGATTATGATAAATACATAGAAAAGTGTTTTGTTGTTTATAAAAGCTTACAAAAAAATTTGTTGGACCTTATTTGTTGGAGTAACTAGAGAAACGGATCAATTTTTAAAGCATTATGCCCTCTGTAGCTCCACATTGCTCATAGTTTTCGTTACATACAAGTATATATATCTATTGCTATTAGTTTATTTACCTACCCAAAAGGATAATTTGTGATTTTTTTTTTAGATTTTTTTTTAATCGATTATTTACCGATATGAGAATTAGCAATTATGATAAATATATAAAAAAGTGTTTTGTTATTTTAAAAAGTTGACAAGAATTCTTGTTGGACTTTATTTATTGGAGTAATTACAAATACAAATCAGTTTTTATAGCATTATACCCTTTGTAGCTCCACATTGTTCACGGTTTTTGTTCCATATATACAAATACAAAGGGTGAAGGGCAAAAAACACCCCTAAAGTATGCTTAGGGTGCATATCACACCCCTCCCGTGCAAAACACACCCCTCAAGTTTCAATTTGATGCAATCAAGTCCCTCAGAAAAATTTAAAACTGAACTTGACTAAAGTACCCTTGATCAACAATTTTATAAAATATATAAAAATACAAAAAAAAAAAACTGTAAAAAGACCAAAAAGGACTCTGCGAAACCCTTTTCGGTTTCTTGGGCTTCAGTTTTCACGAACAGCATGAAACTCCGGGGACTTACAGCGAAGGTAGTGCCGGCCGCCGGAAGTTACACTCTGCAAATATCTAGGGAAATCCGGCAGTGGTCCTGCCGCCGCCGACGACAACCACCTTCGCCGATAACGACGACGACCCCGACAACCCAACGACGGCCACACCGACACGACATCTCCGCGTTTCTCTCCCCTCTTATTAACGACTTTCATCTCCACTGATGACAACGACGACCAAGACGCCACTGCAATTTTTGTGTTAAGAGGGGAAAGAGAGATGAAGTGGAGATGGATCAAAGAATTCTATGGCCATGGCTGACTCGTCCGAGTTGGACTCGGGGTGAAGCTAAATTGTAAAATAACAAAGCCTAATACAGATACATCCATGGGTGGTGACCTTCAATATATTCAAACAGTGAGAGAGACCCAATCGGCGAAGCAACTCTGGCGACCATGAACACCAGCAAGACTCGAGAGCTTGTTCGATTCTAAGTTCTCTACAAGAGCTGTGAGTTGCCGATGCGAGCACCAAACGACAGACTTCAACGCCGTTGAATCTGCGTCATTACCGTCGGCTGTGTAGTCGCCATCAAATCTGCGTCGAATCTGCTCTCCGGGGCTCTGCGTCATCGCCGAAATCTTCTTCAGCTTGCCGTCACGTGCGAATTGGGTATCTTCAACGCAATCTCGAACGATGACCACCAAATCCAAACCCCAAATTGAAAGCCAATAACGCACAACACGACCACCTATCTTGATTTGCAGGTGGCGGCCATGGGTTTACCGAATCGTCATTAATAAATCGATCTGCGGTAGTGGCGGCGACGACATAATTTCATGCCCTTCAACACGCGCTGGTTACTGCAAGTCGTCTTCTTCCTTAGAGATTATGACGGTGGCTGAGTTGGTGTCAATGCTGCAGGCACCACTGGGCTTCGATATGATGGTGGATAGACCACCGTCGGTGAGAAGAGGGTTTGTGGGTCCTCCAACACGGACCGAGTCGTTGTCGCCGGACTCGTTGGCGAAGGTTCTCTGATTCGCAGGCGCCTTGTATATATATAGATATATATATGTGTGTGTGTGTGTGTATATGAATGGATGAGATTGGGGGGTGTGTGTGTGTGTGTGTGTGTGTGTGGGTGGGGGGGGGGGGGGGGTTTGGGAGGAACCGGCGGCAGAGAGTAGAGAGAGAATGATGGGTATTTTCGGAAGATTAAAAGGACAAAATGGATATTGCACATAGGGGTAATTTTGCACAATTTTAAAAAATTAGAGTGTTTATTGCACACTTTTTTTAATAGAAAGTAAAAGTGCTACTCAGAGTATACTTAAAAAGATGTTTTTTACACTTTACCCACAAATGTATATATATCTATTACTATTAGTTTATTTACCTACAAAAATGATAATTTGTTGATTTTTTTTTTTTTAGACTTTTTTTTTTAATTGATTACATAACCGATCTGAGAATTAGTGATTGTGATAAATACATGGAAAAGTGTTCCGTTATTTTTAAAAGTTGACAAGAATTCTTGTTGGATTTTATTTATTGGAGTAACTACAAAAACAAATCAATTTTTATAGCATTAAGCCCTCTGTAGCTCCACATTTTAGATTTTCTTTTTTTATTTTATCGACTATGTGAGAATTGGTGGTTGTGATAAATTACATAGAAAAATGTTTTATTGTTTTTAAAAGTTGAAAAGAGTTCTTGTTGGACTTATTGGAGTAACTACAAAAACAGATCAATTTTTATAACATTGCTCTTAAAGAAAAAAAGACTACCGCTACACTTATCAATTGATTTTTTTTCACAATCCAATCACTTGTATTTAATAAAGACTCTTAATTGATGATGAATAAAAATAAAATATCTCACTTCCAAATTATTTTAAGGAATGAATGACACATCACTTGGTGAGGATAAAACTTTTATCATATTCCTTCAAGAAATGACCAGACTGTAAAATTCAAAAGTCTATTGATCCTCGGAGTTAACCAATTGTACATGGCCTTTTCGCAGATCTCAAAGATCACAAAGTAACTAATGCTACTATTCATTCATGTTTTTTCTCCACGTTTGGTTGGCCGAAAAGAGGTGTTCGTCAATCCTGATGTGGCTCCGTCGGTCCCATGCAACATGTCGGTGGCATCAACATTCACCTTCGAAAATCGCCGACCACATCACTACAACAATTTTTAGTGAATAAGTCGATTTTACAAGTTATTTATTTTTAAAAAATAAGTTGATTGAATTATTTGTACCTTTCCAGTGTTCGTCCACGTATAGTGAATCAGGATGAAGGGCTATTTTTAGAATCTCATATAAACCGAGTGTTTGGGTGTCAGCGGGAGAAATAATAAGAATAGTTGTTTTTCTGCATAATAATTCTACAATTTTTTATTCATGATGATTTAAAACATTTAAAAAAAAAATTATTGTGAACAAGTCAGCACCTAAGTCAAATCATTTTAAACACTTCCGTTTAAATTACATAGATTTATTAACATAAAATAACTTTTTATATTTTTCTTTTTATTTAGTTGAGCTAGAGGAGTGTATTTTGTTCAGTTCACTCATTCACGTGTGAAACATGTTAAATTTTTTGATAAATAAAATTAATTCAACCATAAAAGCGATATTAATTCAACAATAAATATCTCTCCTTAGTAATAAGTGACATTGATTTGACAACTTTGTTATGTTATGAGAAACATAAGTTCTAATTTATAAATTACTTGAGAAATTAAAATATTTGTCTTAAACTGTTGAGTCGTTTACAAACTAATACAAATAGTCATATGAAATCTTATAATGAGATAATCTTGAATTAATTAACATTTGATTATTAGTTCGCAATTTTAATCTTTGTAATTCCAGTACACAAAGATTTTTTTTTTTTTTTTCTTTTTCAAATAAAAGAAATAGTTAGCATGTCAATGTTCATCACCTGCCGATATATTCCGCATTCAGAGACATAATTATAATCCAATTCCTATCTTAATACTATGTGACAGCTCACTGCCCTTAACCAAATCACACCATCCGATTAAGATCAGGCGGTCCAGAAACGTGGACCAACATAAAAAAAAATAATAAAAAATTGGAGATACGTAGGGATGCATATTTCCCAACTAACTATTCTCGACCAAACTCGCGTTTGGTTCCTTCCATTTTTACTCTCTCTCAGACTCTCACTCACTCTCTGTAATTTCCTTCTCTCCAACACTTCCTCGAGTAGTTGAACCTCATTGTCACCACAAATCTAGGGTTTCATTGGTTCGAAAACCAGATTTTTTTCGTTTGATTTCTATCAGATCTGGTTCTTGAGCGAGCAGTGTGTGTATATATACACACACGTATATATGTGTATACGTATATTGGAATGCTCATTGGTTTACTGCTTATATTAGTGTGAAATATTGTGAGAGGCGTGGTTGTTTGTGAAAGATGATGATCTATGGACCTTTAACCCCTGGTCAGGTATGTAATTTCTGCTATAATTGTCGGTGCATCGTCTAGAGCTTGTACACTGTCAGATCTTGCACCGCTTATGCGAGCCGATATATACAAACTGTTTGTAGTTTTAAATTGGTTGAATTTGAATGCATAATTGCAGTTACACTTTGGTTTAGATGACTAAAATCTCCAACTTGTTCATTTTCTACTTACCATCATCAATTCATTATGACTTAGTTTAAGCTCAATTTGTACTTCAAGGTATATGTATAAGGTTTTCATGTATTGATTGTATCCTACATATATGTCACTTCAAGTTTATTTATGGTTTAGTGGCATTGCCACCATAATAAAACATTTGTTTGATGTTAATTTGTTGGTCATTGTGTGAATTTAACTCTTAAGTTGTTATATCTCTTGCTCAAAGTGATCAATAGTGCTTGGCTTGCTGCTGAGCTTGACAATTGAGTTTATTTTGTGTAAGCAATGCCATGTAAAACTTACAGACAGTTCGTAACAGCATGTATGTAATGGCACTGTTACAACCAAAACACTCTTTAAGCTCCACTTATCTAAATAAGAAGAATTCTAGCAAAGGAGGCATTCATGAATTGTAAATCCGTCAAATCAAGTGGGGGACTATCAAATTAGAAGTTTAACAACTGGCTCAGGAGAGGAGGATATCTTACTATCTTCATATGAATTAATATGTTTACATAGTAGTCCACCTTGGAATTAACTGAGGATTCCGCTCAACATAGAGCTGACTAGAGAAGCCAAACTGAAGTTGTTGGGATTATGGCTTGTTTACTTGAGTTGACATCCCTTAAATGAGTACAGAAGTTCAGCTATTGTTTTTCAATGCAGTCACCTGTGCTCTTTTTGGAGTCCCCAATGGAACAAATAGTACGCTTTTTGACTGAAGATTTGCCTGGCTTGATTCTATGCTCCTTTACTATTCAATAATCAAGCTTTAAGACTAGATTTCACTTTTCGGAACAGTGGATCACACAATTGAGATACTAGATTTTTCTTTATAATTTAAACTTTAGATATTTTTGTGTAAGTATTGTTCAAACATGCACGTCATTTAAACGTTGCTGAGTTTGACTTACCAAGAAAAAAAGGGACAAGAAAATGGGGGGGAAAAAAAAAAAAAAAAAAAAAAAAAAACTTTATTAGTCATTGATGAGGTTGATCTCGCTCTCATCACCATCGCCGGTGCCAGGCATTAATCCTATTAGAATTACATTTTTAAGCATATACCTCATTCCATGTTAAATTTTGCTTGACCTTTTTGTTGTTTACCTTCTATGCAAACCAATCTTCCTTTTTTGACCTGACCGTCTACAGGTCAGCGTTGAATACTTCCATACTCCTAATTTCTCCCTCACACGTTGATTATTAACCTTATATCCTCCAATTACTCTGAGCATCCACTTCAAAATTCGCATTTCTGCTATTGTTGTTTCTTTTCTAATGCCCAACACTCTACTTCACATAAGATAGCCAGTCTTTCCCTTTCATATAATTTGGTATACATTTATCACATAAAAAACCAGTAGCTCTATGCCAATTATACTGCTTATTTCATCTTTAATCTCTTCGTCCTTTGGTATAATCAGAATTGCATTTTTCTTCATCCATTTCGTGTTCGCTTGCTTTAGTAACTGTGGCTTAAGGTAATACATGCTTGACAAATTTTGTCTATTTACTAATTGCAGGTGTCATTTTTCCTTGGTATTATCCCAGTATTTGTTGCTTGGATATATTCAGAATATTTGGAGTACAAGAAAAACTCAGTCTCATCAAAATTGTGAGTTAGTTGTTCAACTCTGGATATTATTTATCCCAGCTCCTGTGCAGAATGTATGCCCTTACTAGGAAAGTGATCATTTTTTATACACCTTTTAAAATGCATGAGTTTGAAGTTCTTACTCACCTATATCTTTCTGTATCTTGAAGTCGTTTTTGCCTGCCACTACTCTCAAAAAACGATGCTGAATATTTTTGGAATTACTGACGACATGAACATCATACATATTGTTCTTGTATCTTTCTTGAAGTCGCTTATTGTTAGATCTATGTTGTTATCCCTTCAAATTTTAGGCTTCTCAATGTTCTCATCCTTAAAAGGTATACTGTGATATTATTGTTAGTTCTGTCCTTCCTTGAATTGTTTGACTAGGTTTATATACTTGGCTCTGCCTTTTGATTTTCTGGGTCAGTTATCTAGGCGAAATATATGGTAAATAATTTAGCATTTTATTTATGACAATACCATCAAGATGCATTCTATTTGTGCCACTAAAATAAGTTCTCGAGTAAGAAAAAAGGGTTGTTATATGTTCTGGTTTCAGTCATCTGGGTGAAGGATATTAGCTGTTATGCATTTTATTTGTGACATTCCTAAAGAAAAACACATCCTATTGTTGCAATATTGAAATAGTTTTGAGCTAGAAATCTGCCATATTATATGTTTTATTTGTGACATTCCTATAAAAAAAAAATTCCTATTTTTGACATTGTAATAGTCTTGAGTGCAGAAAAAGGGATGCTGTATACTTCGTTTTCGTTCCCCCTTTCTAGAAGGAAATAAAAAATTGTCATCTTATTATCTGATAAAAAGAGACAGCAAAAAAAAAAAAAAAAAAAAAAAAAAAAAAAAAAAAAAAAAATATGCGTCTTCAATTTGATGAATGTGGTGAGTCTCGGGTGGTTCATTTTACCTGAATACTGAAGTAAGAGGAACACCCTTATAATAATTACATTGGTTGAGCCACTAAAATTTTCTGCTTCATGACATGTTCATGATTACTAGTGACAGCAATGTAAATCTGTTTTGTATTTATGCATGTTACTATATTTATGGGAGTACACTAATTGTATTTAAATATGAAAACAAAGTCAATAACATTACAGTATATCATTTTTATGTTCATTGGTATTATCTACTAAAAGATAAAGTCATTTGAAACGAAACATGAAATTGTTAGATGGTTGCCTTATAAAATATTTAATATGTACAATAATTAATGATTTATTTGTGTACATGACAAGTCATTTAGGAAAATATATATGGTTAAAACATTTCATTTATGAAAATACATAGTTGAACGTTTTTCTCTTTTGCCCCAATGAGGACTTGAACCCTCGACCTCTTTTTGTTTGAAAACAAGGAGATACCACTATGCTGCACCTGTTTCTATATAGTTAAAAGTATTGCTTTATTTCTCTAGTAGCAACTGGCATATGGAGGGGTAAATTGGTTGTTAAAAACATGAAGTAGACTAGCAGCTAAAAAGAGGGATTGTGGTATGAGTTTATTAATTGTGCCTTTTCTATTATTTATTTATTTATTTTATTGTGGGGGAGTAAAGGGGTTTGTTCTGAAATTTTTCTCAAATTGGCTTAATTCACTATAGAATTGGATTCAGAAAAATACTGTGTAACTTGAAGACCTTTTGCATCAAAGAGAGAAAAAGGTGACAGTTTTCAGAAACCGAAAACCATGTTCACAAAAGTTATCCAGAACTCAAGGATCTGCGGCACTTTGAGTGTAAATGAAGCTGAATGGAACAAATAGGAGAGCAAATTTAATTTTGGTAGTCAAGACCAAGGTGCATAACTTACATAATTCTAGAATACTAGTTGTAGCGTCTGTCTTTCTTATGTGGACCTCACACGTTAGAGCAAGATACATGTTTTCAGTAGGGATTAATGCTTATCATCTACCTTTCAATGCTGAAGCTGGACAGACTGTTATTCTTCCTTACATTTTTTCTCCCTGTGTATGTATCACTGGCAGGCATTCTGATGTCAATCTGGTTGAGTTGGGAAATGAAACAGTTAAAGAAGAGGACAGAGCTGTTTTATTGGAAGGGGGAGGTCTCCAGTCAGCTTCTCCTAGAGTTCGGAGTTCCTCTGTGACGTCTCACATTGGCAGGTTTGTAACAACTTTTGGCTTCTTTATTTACTTATCAGTGGCTAATTTGACATGCTTATATGCCCTGCAATTTGTTCAGATTCATTCTGATGGACGAGTCCTTCTTGCTTGAAAACCGGTTGATACTAAGAGCCATGTAAGTTTATTCATCTTTAAGATTTGCAACCTTAAATGCTTAAAATTCTGAAGGACAGAGGATCAGTGATTTACTTCTTCTTCTTCTTCTCTCTTTCTAGGTCAGAATTTGGTGCCCTTTTGATCTACTTCTACTTATGTGACCGTACAAATTTCTTCAGCGAATCAAAGAAGGTGCTTTTAACAACTTCATTTATAACTTTCCTTCCACTCTGCGGGTGTTTGATGTCATCTTTGGTGGCATCTACATTCAATACGTAAACTGTTAAAAGAGGAAGCTGTAATTATCACATCCATTATTATCTTTTGACTTGTGTTTCCATTCCTTGAATTTTATGAAATTTTCAGAATGATTTCCTGGTACGGCATGTGGATATTGTTAAATTTTGTATTGTAGGAAGAAAATGAAAAAGTAAAGAAAAATGAATTGACATGAACACTAGTACAATTTAGTGCTTCCCAAAATCTTTTATGTATTGGAACACAGCCAAGATGGCCATGCGCTTTACTCTTTCTTTAGTTCAACGCATCTTTGTGACCTAGAAACATTTTTAGAATGTATACTCTTGAACAATTTCAACTTCATTGTAAATTTGGCGCAAAAGTATAATCTAGACTGGGAAGTGTTAAAATACAAAATTGAGTCTGAGAGCAGCCACGTTATGCAAAGTAATATCAAATGTTAGGTTCGTCCTTAGTCCATCCTTCTTGGATCCTAGTTAGTAGGTAGAAACAATACTAGATAATGGCCCTTCTCATCTTCTGTTAAATTTGATTATATCTACTACAATTATTTATATTTCTGTGAAATATCATTTATAGTTTAAATTTATTATTTAACCCTCATCCCATGGATCATATTGGCAAAACAATAATTAATGATAGACATGGTGTTGATCACAGCCCTATTCGCAGGGCCATCCTGGTCAAGTAGGATAATGCATATTTGTGCTACAGCTGTTGAGTAGGACTATGTGCTAATTTGTGTCCACTATTAAAGTTTATTGATAAAAAATCGTAATCAAGTTTATTTGTTTGTTAATTTGCATCCATTTGGTAACTTTTTTACTTTTTATTATTATTATTTTTTTAACCTCTGAAGCTTGCTTTGAATTGCATATATGTTTCATTGATGTATTTTAAGCCAGTGATGCTGTTGAATGTTAATTTGTTTGGGGATAATGTTGGGGCTTCTGATTAGCTTATTCCTTACCATCATTTGTGTTTGCAGAGTTACAATCGGGATCTTTTCTTGTTTCTCTACTTCCTTCTCATCATAGTTTCGGCAGTTACTTCTTTTAAGATACATCATGATAAGTCACCATTCTCAGGGAAACCGATACTTTATTTAAACAGGCATCAAACTGAGGAGTGGAAAGGTTGGATGCAGGTTAGTCAGTTTTCAAGATGATTTATTTAATTCTTGTGATTTTGTTTATTTTTTCTTAATGTAAAAGAAAAGATTGTTTGCACTTTCTAATTTTTTTCTAGTGTTCTCTTTTGATTTATCTAGATTGTAAGGGTATGATCAAACGTGATGATCTCTGGCTCATTTCATTATTTCCCCAGCATAACTATTCCTTCACTCCATGTTGGCATCTTGCAGTCAATACATAGAAAACTTCTAATATTGAAAAATAAAAATAAAAAGAGTATTCTTGAGAAGAGAGGGAATTGCAACAGAAAATTTTAATTTGTTTGCATGTGTGTGTGTGTGTGTGAGAGAGAGAGAGAGAGCAGTTGGGGAAAGCCCGCCTTGGCGTTCAAGTTGAAGGTGGATACTGTTCACCTTCTATAGATATAAAACCTTCACAGTACACTATGAAATTATTCTCTTTGGCAAAGTAAACTCCTTTCTTTCTTTCTTTCTTTTATTTTTTATTTTTTCTATAAAGGCCATTACTTAGTGTGTTCCTTGTTGATCGAGGGTCCGGGAGGGATAGAAATCATAGAATCATTCCTTGACTTCCATTTACAGCCAGCAGTAATCTCCTGCCACTAGAGCTGATTGGCCGGATTAAATCAGATATGTTATCTATTACCAACAAATGTAAGATCTGTGCTACCATATAGAAATAATGTGTATCTGGTGTTCCCTCAAAATTTCCAGAAGATTCCCATTAAACATGCTTTCAACCTTATGAATAAGTGGTTAATTCACATATTCCAATTATGCTACATTATTCACACTCCTGTAATTCTCTCTGGAATTAGTGACTGACAAATTTTCAGGAAATCTCTTGCTAATTAAGATAATAAGAATAACAATAATGTTAGGTAAGGAGCATGGTAGCACAATTACATATGGTTAAGATACAATATGTTCATAGAGCGACTATTACTGACATGTGATGTTCAGATGGATCTGTTGTAAGATAAAATAAGATAAAGTTAGAAACAAACATATTTTTTGAAATATGGGACTAGCACTCATTAGAGATGAAATGAGGACAATCCTATTAAGATAGTTTGACCATGTATAACCACTCCAATAATACACCAATGAGGAACAGTGGCATGGTACACATTAAGGTTAGTGTTAGAAGAGAGACACTAAAATTGACATGAGTTGACAGTAAGACACGTCAGTACTTTGACTTTCTGTGATGAAAATTGTTTTAAAGATTTTATTTTTTCTGCTTTGTATACTGTTTTCTACATGTTTCACCGGGAGAACTGCATTTAACCTATGTAATATTTTCCTACGATAATACCTCTAATTTTCTTGGGCTACTATAAATAGGCACCCATTTATGAGATAAATGTCCGAGTTAATTGCTAGAAGTTTCAGATAAAATACAGAACTGAACAATTCCAAGCAATGAGGGCACATATGCTTGCTTACAAAGCCTCCTGCTTGGGTTGCACATAGGTGTTGTTTCTGTTGTCCACTCTATGAAGTCTTCTAATACAATATTACTTATCAAAAAAAAAAAAAAAAAACCTTCTTTTTTTATTATGACAAGGGATTGTCTGAACCTAATGCCCCCTTCATATAAATGGTGTCTTACCGCTCTTATCTTTTATTTACAGGTATTATTTCTAATGTACCATTACTTCGCTGCAACTGAAATATACAATGCAATAAGAATTTTTATAGCTGCATATGTTTGGATGACTGGATTTGGGAACTTCTCGTATTATTATGTTCGCAAAGATTTCAGCCTTGCTAGGTTCGCTCAGGTACGTAGTCCTATACAATTAAGATTTCTCATCCAAGTTCTCTTCACAATAATCTGCTTCTGACAGTATTCATTTCTTTTATGGCAGATGATGTGGCGGCTTAACTTCTTAGTGTTAGTTTGCTGCATTGTTCTTAACAACAGTTACATGCTATACTACATATGTCCCATGCATACTCTCTTCACTCTTATGGTTTATGGGGCACTTGGTATTTTTAACAAATATAATGAGAATGGGACAGTCATGGGGGTAAAGATCATTGCCTGCTTTTTAGTGGTCATTCTAATATGGGAAGTACCTCAAGTGTTCGATCTGGTTTGGAGCCCATTTACTTTTCTTCTTGGTGTGTAACTTGCCACTGTTTTTACCCCCACTAGCTTCACCTTGATCATCACTGAATTGCACACATAAAATAATATTTTATATAAAATTCATTGCAGGATACGCTGATCCGGATCCTTCAAAACAGAAATATCCCCCATTGCATGAGTGGCATTTTCGCTCTGGCCTTGATCGCTACATATGGATAATCGGAATGATATATGCTTACTATCATCCAACAGTAAGTTTTGATGCTGATCTAAGTCATTTTTCAATTATTATAATTCAAATTTACATTCAATAGATAGATATATATTTTTTGGTTTCTAAGTACTAGGAAGGTAAGGCTGAGCTGTAAATATCTGCTTGCTTCTCTGCCCCCTTAAATCTCAAATCAATGGCTAAATGGTTAGCATTTTTTATGGTAGGTTGAGAGGTGGATGGAAAAACTAGAGGAAGCAGAAGTTAAACGCAAGATATCAATCAAAACGATTGTTGTGCTTATTGCCTTGACGGTATTATATCTTTCTTCCAGCGTGATCTTTTCTCCTATATTTCTGTCTGATGCAAACTCATAATTTTTAGGTGGGATATCTTTGGTTTGAGTACATATACAAGCTTCCAAAGGTTACATACAACAAGTACCATCCTTATACCTCATGGATTCCCATAAGGTACGCATATCTTTCCCCCACTGCTCTGGCACTTCTTAGATAATTGCAACTTCTTGCCAGTTGTTTAAGTAATATCATTTGTTTTGCTCAGTGTCTACATATGCTTGCGAAACGTCACCCAGCACTTTCGTTGCTACTCCTTGACCTTATTTGCGTAAGTGGCTTTCAATTTAACTTGATACTTAAAAATTCTTCTCTCTATTTATAGTCTTACCATACGCTTCAGATATCTTTGCTGGGAATTTTGAATAGATCCTAGAAGTTTTTGTCTATGGATTGGAATATATTTTTAACACTTGTTGTGGTATTATTCGTTTGCTTCTTTAGATGGCTTGGAAAGATCACATTAGAGACCTACATTTCACAGATCCACATATGGTTAAGGTATGCACGTGATATGATAGTGCTTTAGTCAATTTACAAATGATACATGCACAGTGGTTAATGGAAGTTGTTTTTAGCTTATAACATGCAGATGGCGTAAATGCTTTTTTGAGGAGGCATTCGACCCTTTTGGTTTGTTTTTTAATTGCTGAACAGAAAGTTATAATTTGATGGATTAAGAAAGTAGGAAACCAGAGAAAATTATAGATGTTAAAATCATGAACTGGATGTTCATTGGGTTAATCCAGTTCAATCATTAAACAGTGTGCCTCTGACCATGCGTAAGATCATTCCAAACAATGAGAGGATCAAGTAATATTTTCGCGATTTCTTTTAAGCGTCTAGAAAATGATGGAATTATTATTTTATTAGCTGTGCAGAAAAGGGCACTATATATATGCATATGCTCTCTCTCTCTCTCTCTCTCTCTCTCTCTCTTTCTCTCTCTCACACACACATTTTTATTTATTCTAAACTATGCCATATGGCATGCAGATCAGGTGTGCCTGATGGCCAGCCTAAACTGTTGCTCTCTTTGATCCCGAACTACCCGATGTTGAACTTCATGCTCACCACTTCCGTATATGTTGCAGTAAGTAAATGATGTCACTGGAAATCTCATGGTAATGTGAAGCGACTTATGTGGTTCCCTTGCTTTCAGGTTTCATACAGGCTCTTTGAATTGACAAATGCATTGAAAACGGCATTTGTGCCAAGTAAAGACGACAAACGCCTACTCCACAATATAATTGCAGCAGTAGCAATTTCAAGTGTTTTATACACACTGTCTTTTATATTCTTAAGGATCCCTCAAATGATGGTAAGAATTCTTCCTAAATTTATTTTGTGAGTCTGGGTTTATGAGATTGTCAAATTTGTTGTTTACTAGTTCACATGAAAGTGGGCGCGTATAACAATAATGTGAGGCATGCACTACCCTTCTCATGGACTGACAAATGTCTTAAACAGCTCCCGATTTTGTTTGCCTATTGGTATTTCAAACAAGAAGATGGAAAATTTGATATATCTTGATTGCAAAGTACCATAGCGAATAGGTCCTTGGTCAATAATTGAATAAGAAATGATTTCTACGTAGCTTGAATCAAGGTGTAAGGAAGCATATATGGTGGGGATCATGTCATAAACTCCCTAATTGCATGGAAAATGATTCACATTGACAAGTCACGTGAACCGAACAACCAATCATCTATAAGGCTGTTATTTAGTGTGACCCTTTTAAGTTTAGTGCACAGAGGTGCAAATTGGGTACGTGCCCAACCTTTGGCATTATTTGTGCAACGTGAATGCCCTCATTCTCAAAGAAATATATCATGCTTTACAATCGAACTTTAATTGTTGCAGCAGCAATGACCGGTTCACTTAACCATCTGCAATTGTAGTTATTTTATATCGATTGTCCTTATTAATTTCTGATTTTTTTTTTCTGATCCACTTGAAAAACAGGTGTGAGAGTTTATAGTGTACAGTCTCATCTGTGTGGTTTGAACATGGATGAAGCATATTGCTACATTACAAGAATCTTCACCAATTACCAGAGTGACAAAAAGTTACAATGGTGAATTGCACAATTACTGTATACAAAGAGGTTGCTGATAGATTCAAGGTCCACTTGGAGGTTGCCATTTCCCTTGTTATCTCATTAATTTGTACCGCTAAAGTGTACATGATTCAACCTCTAAATGAGGTGGTGTTATAGTTTTCATTTCACATTTTTATACCATTATAGTCATTACCAGCACGATTGCATTCAACATTGTGCCAAGAGCGTGTTGAAACAACAATGTTTCGTGATCAATGTTGTGAATAAGACCTATTAGCTATGTTAGTTTGTCAAAAGCATGTTGCATCCAATTCTATCAAATGTGAATCTTAAAATTGAGATATCTTAATTACCTTCTATGGGCATCTTGCAGTTAATATCTTGAAATGCTACTTTTGCTGTAGTTTTTACCGTATTCACAATCATAAATAGATTTTGTGAAGGTGCAGTTAATGTCAACAACACATGTTTTCCTCTTATCTTCAGTTTCTAACACCAACACTCTGGCACGCTTCACTGCTTCAGTGAAACTACCATACGGCTTCCTCCAACACAAAATTTCACCACTTCAATCATCACCCTCCAAAGTTCCACCCTATAAATTTTCGTCTTTGGATAAAGTACACTCACACCTCCTCTAACAGACAGATGAAAGTTATTCATGTTTTTGGATAATGACACTCTGTTTTTTGAAATTCTATTCAAATAAGGCCTTAAGTCATATGAAAATACAAAATTATCCCTCTATATTAAATTTAGATATATTACAAAATATCAGACCAAGCAAAATAACACAAGAGCCCTTTATTAATGTTTTTTCTCCTCTCTCTTCCAATCACACAATCTACGCCTCTCTCTCTCTCTATCTGCTATCATATATGTATACACACAGAGGCATATGTCCCTTGTCATCGATTCAATCCTATTTGCCGGACAGCGTCGTGTATCTATCTGTGGCTGATGAGTTGGAGGAGATAGCCATCTAATATATCTTCAACCCGGTAAGTTACAAGAAAAAAAAAATCTGGGTTTAAGGGAGAGGCCGTGGATTGGTGGTGGGTTTGAGAGGCGATGATTGTGTGGGTGGGGGCGACGGCGGCAATTTGTGATGGGCTGGAATTAGGCGGGTTTTGGCGGCGGCGGCGACGATTATGTAGTGTATGTGTATTGAAATCCCCTAAAATTTACATTGAATTCACCAAAATCCACCGTGAACAACAACACATGAGACAACGACCCGCTATAAAAATTCAACCAATCATGAACAAGAAAACCCTAGGTTTCACCATCAAGATTGCTTAGGATGCTGCCCCCAGCATTCGTACTAGTCGATGGCTCACAAATCACCCTTTTCTTGGTTTCTCCACTACACTAATACTATATATCTAACTTCCATCTATATTACATTTCTCATTTGACAATCATAATGTACCTTAGACTTGCACACTAAAATTTACCACCACCCCCCCACCACCAATTCAATGGGTTCCCTCCCATCCCCTTCGTCACACTCCACGCCGCCTCCATCGCCGGAAAACTCCACTTCACGCCCTCAAATCTATGTCTCAGTTTGCTTCAGAGAGCCAGCACCTAATGTAAACATACCTACTTGGATAGACTCTTTCAATCCACTTAACAATACTTGGAGTCATGTCACCTCCATTCCTGGCCTAGAGGAGAATCTTGTTTCGAAGGATTTTGCCATGATATCAATGGGAGACAACATCTGCATCATCAGCGGCCGCCTTTGCAAGAAAGAAATATATATACAAATGAGAAAAGAAAGGGTTTGGGTTTAATCCAAGGCCATTAAAGGTAATTAAAATATTAATTTTATATTAAGAGGTAATAAAGTCCATTCATCATTGTTGGATCTCTTTGTTCATTTTCCAAATTTAAAAGGATGTCTTTGTCGTTCATTTTTCAAACTTAAAGGGATGTCTTTGTACAAAAAAATAAATAACTTTCATCTGTTTGTCTTTATGTCAAACATCAGAAAGTGTGACTATATTTTACCCTTTCTTCTTTTATAAAAATATAAAATAATAATAAAACATTAAACACTTAGAGTTGTTGCAAAATCCACCCCTTAACTATTATAAGCCTTAATTACCCGAAAAAGAAAAACTATCAAAAGTCATTAAAAAAAAATCCACTGAATTGTCAAGTCTTGTACTGTAATTGACTCCCAAACTTCTAAAGACTCACATTGCAACCCTGAGGCAAAATAAAAGACGGAAAAAACAGGCTTTAGCAAAGCTCCTCCGTCTTCGTTTATTAAACGAGAGTTGGGGTTAGGATAGTATTTTGTAATTTTATTATGAAACTAGTGAATGTAATTAATGAAATAATTTTTTTACCATAATAATAATTTATTTTCTCATATGAGAATCTAAACAATTTTTATATCTTACTTGGAACTTAATGATATAATATTTATGGTAGGAATTAGGAACATTATAATAATACATCGAGGTTCTTAAATGAAATAATACAAAAAAAAAAAAATACTAAAAAAAATATAATTATTTTTCTTGATGGTAGCCATATTTTAAAGATTGTCGATTTTGAATTTGTCTAATGTTTCACTATTGGTATTGAAATTGCAGGGACATTGTATTCTTTAAGTTCACGATTACTTGAAATTTTATTTTATTGGAAGTAACACATTAAATTTTTTTTTAGTGATATTCGAATTGTATTATCACACATATTTAATTTAATAACTATTTAATTAATTCAAAATTAAGACTACTGTTAACATTTTTATTCAATGACATTTTGTGGTTTATGCGCTTATTGTTTTATTTTAATTTAAAATTAATAAAAGATCCTGTAGGCCCTATAATCAAATTACATCAGTTGGTGAGCGAAATTTTCAATCTAATACGGAGTACAAATCTTTCCCAAACATTCCCATCATTGTTTTAAAAGTTAATCCAAAAATTTCTTATACAGCACCAGATTTGATCGTTCAGGGTTTCTGTTCCCAATTGTCCTTGTCTATATCTGAATTATGGGACGTTGTGATGGTGGTGGTGGTGTGGCGGTGGCGGAGGTAGGCCATGAGCTTTATATGTATAAAATTATGATTTTCTTTATTTAATTTTTATTTCTATACTTTTATACTGGTTGATCTGTGTAGTATTTTCATCTTCTTTTCTCTGATTCGATGTTATTTGATACGCCTATTGCGGCAAGAAGTGGTGGTGGAGATGGCAGAGTTGGTAGGAGCTCTCGTTTAAATGGTAAAGGTAACCATCCTTATCCTTATATGTATCTATGCATGAATATGAATGTGCGTGTGTGTATATATATATATATATATATATATATATGCTTTATATCTACGCGTATATATCCATCTACACTTTACACGTTGAAGTAATTCTTCCTATGTGGTTCGTTCTTGACGTTAGGAGTGCAAAATTTTGTGTGTGACATCCGGTCTTTTTGAAATTGTGGCTAAAATTTTGTGCCAGGGAAAAAAAAATTTGTTGCTAAATTTGTTCAATATTATAATAAATATCTTTGAATTATTTCTCATTCAGATGTAGATCTTTCTGTTAATTATTTCTTCGCAGATAATGCTGCTGCTGCCGCCAATGTAGAGAGGACAACTCAGGATACTGTCAGTGAAATTGGTCGTACTTTTTATACGTGTGATGAGCTTTCCTTGTACTTTCAAGAGGTATATGCACACTTTATTTGAAACTATATTTCAAGGTTGTTGAATGCTTGAATTCATAGACTTTTATTCTGATCAGGTTGCTTACGACCTTTTTCTTTTCAAATAGAAAGTTGGAGTGAATATGTATTTTACCCTTAAGCATCTGCCTGTGCTGTATAAATATACATCATCGAGCAGAAGCTCTCAAACAGAGTTAAGTGAGAAACGCCCCCGACCTCCAAAACCTTCTTTGTTGTGCCTCTTTATAGATGAATTATAACTGGAATGAAAATGAGTTCAAAGCTATGAGATTTTTTTTATCAAGCATGTGCATATTGGTTAAGTTAATGGGCAAAATGCAATGGTCAATTTGGTAAGAGGAAAGACTAAATGGAAGGATAGGATTAATAAGGTTTCTATCTTGGGGTAGGTAGGATGGGATTGAAAGAAAGAGGTCACATTCCGTCCTCTTGAAAGTCAGCAGAATAAGAAAAAAGAAGGAATTAGTTTTTTTTTTTTGAATATGCTATTCAGACCATACCACTTCTCTAGTACTAGTAAAAACAAGAGATATCCTCCTTCTTGCCCATCAAACAAAAGGAGTGATTATAGCTTTCTTTCCTAAGATGCGCTTTTTACCCTCATACCTTAACTTCACTCCCTCACGGGGAAGTGAAATTTTATGTTATTGAAATTATATAGGGACTGAAATGGTTGAAAAATAGTGCTGAGTTTTAACTAAAATGGTTAATTTCATTGACACTCCCTGAGGTTTGGACAAATCTCAGGAGACACTTTTCAAAAATTAATATCACTAAGACCCCAAATGACTTTTCTGTCACTTTTACTATTAAAAGGTTGTGAAATGACAATTTTACCCCCTTTTTTTAAAAATCCATTTTAATTATAAATATCAGCAAACTTAAAGCATAAATTTGCCCTCATTAAATATATATGGATACATTTAAAAACATGAAATTGAATATTATACATATAAAGTTTATTAACATATACATTTAAATAAAAATTTATATATAATATATTTAATTTAGATAAACAACTTTGAGTTTAAATTTATAATTAATTCTTTTTATATTGAAAACAATTCTTTAGTAAGTTAACACAAAGTCAAAAGGATAAGAATGTCATTTTACATACAAAAAGTGCTCTGACACCTCTGAAAAGTGACGTTTGGGGTATGTGTGAAAAACTGTTCGAACGTTTGTAATGTGAGTAATAGTAATTTTCGAAAGGTGCGTCCATGTGAGATTTGTCCAAACCTCAGGAAGTGTCAATGAAATTAACCCTAACTAAAATTGTTGGAAAAAAAAAAAAAAAAAAAAACTAGTTTACTCCATTGTGTCCTGAAAGTCACGGGTTAGAAATAAGGAAACATCCTCTCCATAGCTTTTAATGATTTAAAAATGTAAATCTAAATGGAATCATCTGTGATAGTTTGTAGGACTGGAACCCGAGGTCCTGATAGAAAGTCGCGCAAGGTTCACTGATGTAGACCTAGAAGGGGGAGTGCATAGTCCCTTTGCAGAGTAACGATCCCGAACAGAGTCTGTATGGAAACAAGGGGCATTTATCATGTTCTATGTAAACAAAACAATCTTAAAGCGATTGGAAAACCACAGGAAAAATCTCGCCGGAGAGGAACTTCTTGTTGCCAGGAACGAAAGTAGAGCCAATATGTTGAGAAGA